ACGCGTCTGCTCCGACTGACTGATCTTAAATCACTTGGCAGACATTCACTCACAAGCGTGTGGCCAGCTAGTCGTGGTTTCTCAAGGGCCAGACAGACAGCCGAAACAATCTCGCAACTAGCAGGCGTTCTGCCGAAGCTTGGAACTTCCCACAGTTGACCTCAACTTATTCAGTCATGCGCAACACCCAAGCATGCCTGCCTAAGGGCCACTTCAACGCGCGCCTTCAACCGGAGCAGCATGAGCCTCAATACTCGGCACCCCTATCGGGAAACTGCGATACCAATCACACCCCACTTGATCCCGCTTCCCAGTCCTGTAAAAGAAGCTGCCATTATCAGAACTCCCAGTCGACACTCTCAGTCACGACTGGACGCAATCACCATCAGCCGTGGCATTGCCAGCGACACTGCAGCCTAAGAGAGTAAATTAGGGTTATGTGCACTATAAAGACCTGATCCTCGTTACTCTGTCTTTTGCCATCGACCCGGCATTCGACCTGATGATTGTGGTGATCTAATCACAACCACGGCTTCGAACACTACAAATTGGTGACCCCGAAGTGATCTGAAGACGCAGCCTGATATGGCTGACCGGCTCTTTGGTAAATTTCAACTAGACTTCGCCGTACTGCTTTTTTCTGCGTCACTCACCATGCCCACGGATAGGGAGACACGGTTGCCGACACCCTCCCGTGAATCGAGACTGACTTTTGCAACAAGACTAAACCGTTATTTCCCAGGTCGAACCCTAATCAAGTTATTTGGAGCATTCATTTAAGGTGTTGCTATAACATAACATATCTCCTTCGTACGCAAAATTCTTCCGCCTATTACCAACGAAGCGCCATCCGTGAGATATTTTCATGCGCTCATCATGAAACCACATATACATCAATGAGTTTTCAAACTTTCGACATTGCACGCTATCTAAAATTTTTGTCTGGACGACAGTGAGCCTACTTTACTCAGCTCTCAATGGAATGTCTTGAGTCCGAAATGTCCTTTTCTTCTACCAAGTTGCCGACACACTGGCACACGTAAACGAGATCAAGGGTATATCCTTTTCTCCTTCCAAATTACCGACTCACTGATAAACATTGTAGAAATCACGCCAGGACGTCCACTGGCTGATGCAACAACTGCACCTTACTACTACTCATAAGCATCGCCCTGGCTTCTAGGACAAGGAAATATCGTCACACACGACAAACGCTCTTCAACCTACAAGTGCATAGGCGTATTTCCTTCATTCCGCCGTTTGCTCTTGTTTGACACCTTCACTTCGTTCTGCGTCTGATGGGGAGCTGTAGGGGAAGGTAAACAATGCTTCTCTCCTTTGTTCTCCATTGCTCGCTGCCCCAAAGTCACGGGCAGCCGTTCCGGTTAGCTGGCCCTAAATTGCTTGACAAAAATTCATTGCCCAGCTTGTCGCGGTTTCGCAAGGGCAAGACCGACAACCGAAAGAATCCCGCTAATAACGGACCTTCCGCCGAAGCTTGGGACTCCCCCACAGTTGATCTCAGCTTATTCTGTCACGCACACATGTGCGCACAAACCCA